TGAACCTCCGGATGGCCCCTGGTGTTTTTGGTCACTGTCTGACAGAGTGTTGGACTGGATGGGCCATTGGCCTGATCCAACATTGGCTTCTCTTATGTCCTTATGGATAAGCATATGGAGCAGAGGTCCAAGAGTAGCTCTTAGCCACAAGATACAGATAGGAACTCTCATTCTGGGGCAAGGGATGCTCTGTGTTCTTGGTGCGTGGGGGGGCTTCTAGTGTCCTGGCCCCGCTGCTGGACCTCCTGATGGCACCTGGTATTTTTGGCCGCCGTGTGACAGAAGAGTGTTGGACTGGATGGGTCACTGGCCTGATCCAACATGGGCTTCTCTTATGTTCTCATGTTCTCATGTAATGGTATGACTCGACCCCCGATTGAAACTGGGATGTAGGAGAAGTGGAATGCAACATTCCGTAACGAAAGGAGGGACAGAATGGGGGGGGGCTCGATCCCTCCTTACCTCAAAAGGAAGCGGGCCACCTTTGAGATTTCCTGCCCCTCGGTGATTTGGGGAGCCGTGCCCCACCCACGCCCGGTTCTCGCTTACCCTAGTCGTCTGCAGTTCTTGCACCAGATGCAACTTCTCCATCTTGGGACTTGCAGCACCCGTGGGGAGAACGTCACACAGAGCTCTCTGCACCTCCGCCACCTTGGCTCCAATCCCTGCGTTGATTCTGGCCGCCGCCGAGTCGGCCCTGGACGGTGTCCGCGAGGCGGGGAGTTTCAGAGAGGCCTGTTCTGCCCTCAGGCGCCTGATGTACTCTTGCAAAACCTCCTTTCGGTCCTCCTCCAAACCACTTGGCTCTGGGGAGCTGCAACAAGACACAAGAATAACACACAATCTCAAGACAGTCTGGTGAGAAAAAATATATATACAGTTGTGTGCTAGATGCCCACAGAATAATACCATGACAGAAGAGACTAGATCAAGGCCGCAACATCCAATATGAATGAATTTTATTGTTACGGCGCTTAGCCAGCAATCGGCCACATCATTTAGTGTCTAGTAATGAAAAACAGGGAGCTGCGGTGGCTCAAGTGGTTAAGACGCTGAACTGCAGGCTGTGGAAGGTCAGTAGTTCAGCAGTTCGAGACCCAAGTGTGCCGCATGAGAGAGTGAGCTCCTGTCTCTAGTTCCAGCTCCTGCCAACCTAGCAGTTCAAAAGCAAGAAATTGCAAGTAGATAAATAGGTACCACTTCGGTGGGAAGGTAACAGCATTCCGTGCGCCTTGGTGTTTAGTCATGCCGGCCACATGACCACGGAAACGTCTTCGGAGAGCGCTGGCTCTTCGGCTTGGAAATGGAGATGAGCACTGCAACCCTAGAGTCGGATTCGACTGGCTTTCGAGCAAGGGAACCTTTACCTTTAGTGAAAAACAACCACTTATTCCTTCATAGAAAAAATACAAAGGTCCATGAAATTACACATCGCAGTCTGCTCCAGACTCTCTCAGTCAACACCCTTCTAACCAGAGGTCAATTCAGGGGGATCGCGGGGGATCGCCGTTCCCTCGGGTGAGGTGCGGGGGGCGGGGCACATGACGAAGCCCCGCCCCCTGCTTCCGGCTGCCCTGCTTCTGGCCCTCATTCAGCCAGGAGGAGGCAGGGGAAGAGGGAGGGTAAGTTGCTTCCTCCCCGCCTCTCCCCAACCTTGCATGCCTGGGGCCAGGGAGGGCCTTGGCGGGGCTTCCTCACACTCCCGCCGGCCTTGCAGGTCCACCGCCGGGCCTTATGATCTCAGGGGGTGTGGCATATGCTAATGAGTTATGCTAATGAGTTCCCCTAGCTCTTTTTCTATGAAACGACCCCTGCTTCTAACAGTCTTGTATCCTCAAAAGCAGTCTGCTCCAAATTCAATCTCTCTTTCAACACTTATTCCGGATATTTAAGTGTTTCAGAACATTGGTCTTTCCTCAGGAACAATTCCTATATAGGAAACTCACGTTCAATGTTACCTTCAAGTTGACACATTCATTGATTTACTTTTCTGTTAATCTACTTGGGCAAGGTCTCCTCACTTATTTCCAAGCAAATGGACCCAGACTATGCCATATATCCGGAATAAGTGTTGAAAGAGAGATTGATTGAATTTGGAGCAGACTGCTTTTGAGGATGCAAGACTGTTGGAAGAATGTTGACTGAGAGTGTCTGGAGCAGACTGCCGTGTGTAATTTCATGAACCTTTGTATTTTTTCTATGAAGGAATAAGTGGTTGATTTTCATTACTTGACACTAAATGATGCTACGGCTCTAATCTAGTCTCTTTTGTCATTGTATTATTCTGTGGACATCTAGCACACATCGGTATATCTTTTTTCTTACCAGACTGAGCTGCAACAAGAATCAGCTCTTTCCAAGTTGTCGTCTTTCAGTAACAGATAAACCTTCTCTCAAAAACTTGCAAGAAGTCGAGGGCCTTCCTCCGTGTGATCCCCCTGTTGTCTTATTCTGACAGAAAGCCATGGGCACTTTCCCTCAGCTTTCAACTCCTTTGCATCTTCCTCTCTCCCTCTTCCATATGCTTTGATAGGTAAAGGTAAAGGTTCCCTTGCTCGAAAGCCAGTCGAATCCGACTCTAGGGTTGCGGTGCTCATCTCCGTTTCAAAGCCGAAGAGCCAGCGCTGTCCGAAGACGTTTCCGTGGTCATGTGGCCGGCATGACTAAACACCAAGGCGCACGGAACGCTGTTACCTTCCCACCGAAGTGGTCCCTATTTATCTACTTGCAATTTCTTGCTTTCGAACTGCTAGGTTGGCAGGAGCTGGAACTAGAGACAGGAGCTCACCCTGTCTTGCGGCACCCGGGTCTTGAACCACTGAACTACTGACCTTCCACAGCCTGCCGTTCAGTGTCTTAACCACTTGAGCCACCACAGCAAAGCAAAAAAAGCAATCTCAATGCAACTACCAGAAGATCTTTTTGTGCAGTATGTTAGCAATGGGCACTTGTGTTCTTGCACCTCAGTAAAGCACAGCACAACAGAATCATGATGTTATGGCATGCTAAGGTCGATCCATTAAGACTACTAAACACCTCACCCCGCCCCACCCAAAATTGTGATGCATTGGACGGTACCTCTGTGTGCATGCATACAATTGCCCAAATAATTCTTTTTTGTGTAACGTGTTAGCACTTGCTTGATCCAAAGAAGTCAGGGGTCATTTCCTGCAGGAGCACACAGGAGTGGAGCTCTGGCAGTAAAGAGCCCAGGGGGCGGGCACATGCAATAAGCCCCACCCCCTGCTCCCAGCAGCCCTCAGTCAGAGCAAAAAGCAGCCAGGTAAGCTGCAAAGCTCCCCCCGCCCCCCCGGTCCAAAATAGTCCAGTGGCACCTTTAAGACCAAGTTTTATTCAGGTACAAGCTCTCCCTCCTCTGCGAGGACAGATCTGGATGTTCCCCCCCCCCCAATAGCTAGTAATCCAAAACAGTCCAGCGGAGCCTGAGCGGTGGGTGTTGCCTTCTGACACAGTGTTGCCAGTCCAGTGTTGCCTTCTGACACACATCTGGTGATGTCAGGAGGTGTGGCATATGCAAATAAGTTATGCTAATGAGTTATGCTAATGAGCTCCAGCACCTCTTTTTCTACGAAATGACCCCTGAAAGAAGTTATTTTCAATGCTGAGAAACTAAACCCCATAGACATGTGTTTAAATTAGCATTTAAATAATAAATAAATTTATATGGTAAGAGATCAGATAAGTTTAGATTCAAACCACGATTTTTCGAAAGCTCCCTGGTATAGTGTATGTACTCAGAATTCAGAGTTTTGTTTGTCTTCCGTAGCCCATCTCATGGCCCAGGAGATGGGGAATGTCCATGATTATAGTATGAATATGGTTTTTAATCTATCGTCGTACACCGCCCTGAGCCCTGTTTACAGGGGAGGGCGGTGTAAAAAAATTGAAATAAATAACTGAATAAATAAATAATCATTTTTAAACTGTCCGCAGAGGTTCAAGGGGGAAAAAAACCCCATTCTAACCCACTTAGGAGGGACTTCCCAGCTCCAAACCCAGCCAGCGATAGACTTGGACTTCAGACTGACCCTTCTGTGGATCTCTTCCCCCCCCCACTCCCTGTCCGGATCCTGCTGGGTTTTGCACTTAACCTCCCCAAGGACAACCCACCCTGGAGAGCTCCCAGTCCCTTGAGTACCTCTGCTTGAAGGCAGCACACTCGGATCCCTCGCTGTTTGCACGGCATCTTTCCCAGGACCTCAACGCTTCGTTCATCACTGCCGTCTCCATCTCATGACAGACACTACCAGGGTCACCTGGGGCTGGAGGAGGGGGACCACAAGAGGTCAGTCACTGCAGCAGAACAAAAGGGGAAGAACTGCTGCCTTCCACGTCCACCATCAGTGGAGGAGGGGTCAGGAAATCAGCACATTTGCATAGGAGATGGTCTTTTTCATACCTTTTAGCACGCGACTGAGATCAGGGCCCTGCGGGACCCATTACAGTTCTGCAGGGCCCGCAAAACGGAGCTGTTCTGCCAGGCCATTGGACGAGGCAGCGGGCATCTACCAGCCGGGCTCCCTGTTGCTGTGGCCGTAGGCTGCCATTAACAAGACCTTTATGGCCCAGCTTCGGCCCGTTCATTCCCAACTGTAGGAGCCAGGGGTCATTTCCTGCAGGAGCGCACAGGAGCGGCGCTCCGGCAGTAAAGAGCCCAGGGGGGTGGGCATATGCAACAAGCCCCGCCCCCTGCTCCCAGCAGCCCTCAGTCAGAGCAAAAAGCAGCCAGGTAAGTTGCAGAGCTCCCCCCCCCCAGCCCCCCGGTCCAAAACAGTCCAGTGGCACCTTTAAGACCAAGTTCTATTCAGGTACAAGCTCTCCCTCCTCTGCGAGGACAGATCTGCACGTTCCCCCCACCCCCAATAGCTAGCAATCCAAAACAGTCCAGTGGAGCCTGAGCGGTGGGTGTTGCCTTCCGACACACTTCCGGTGGTGTCAGGGGGTTTGGCATATGCAAATAAGTTACGCTAATGAGCTCCTGCCCCTCTTTTTCTACGAAATGACCCATGGTAGGAGCTGAAAACTGAAATTAGCTGCACTGCCCACTTTTAACTGTTTTTAACTGGTTTTATTGTATTAATTTAATCTATCGATATCTATTTATTGAATCGTTTCAGACTGTAATGGCATTTATTGTTGTGAGCCGCCCTGGGCCCACTTGCAGGAAGAGCGGGATATAATAGAAACAATAAATAAATAACTAAAGCAAGCCAGCAAGTGGATTCTTAAGGCCATGTGAAAGAAGAAGAAGAAGAAGAGATTGGATTTATACCCCGCCCTTCACTACCCAAAGGTGTCTCTGAGCGGCTGACAAACTCCTTTCCCTTCCCCTCCCCACAACAGACGCCCTGTGAGGTAAAAGAAGAAGAAGAAGAGATTGGATTTATACCCCGCCCTTCACTACCCAA